ACACACACACACACACACACACACACACACACACAAATGTAGGTTAGATAAATAGATGAATTTAGATAATTTTAATTGGTGCTAAAAAACGGTTTGAAGAAGTGAAACTATCCTTCAAAGATATAGAAATTTTTTATTTTTTTCAATATATTTCGTAAACTAAATAAAATATAAAAAAATGTTTTATACAAAAGTTTTATAGAAAAATATTCTCTATTTAACTGTATCATTCATTTTTCGAAAAAAAAAAAATATTTTCAAAAATTCATTTTTTGTACCCTTTATGTAATATTATCTATCATGTTAAAATTCTGATTTTAATAAAACTTGGCATAAATGTAGATTAAATAAAGTCAATAATTTATAAAATTTTAGTTGATGCTAAAAGATGCTTTGAAAGGGTGAAACCACCCTTCAAAGATACAGAGGCTTTCGATTTTTTTAATATATTTCGTAAACTACATGAAGTATCAAAAAATGTTTCATAAAAAGTTTTATAGTAAAAATATCTTTATTTAATTATGCCAATTATTTAAAAAAAGAAATATTTTTAAGAATTCAATCTTTGTTCCCATATGAAAGAAGTATCTATTGCGTTATAATATTATAAGTTTATTATCAAGTTAAGATAAGTCATGTTATATTCTACGTATTCCTTATTCATAATTATATTAAAGCATAAGAAGGTATTTATTGTTCAATTATTAGCTCGACAGGTTTTCATGTATATATAACACCATTCTTACACATTTGTTACGTAAAATAAATAATATATCAATATTAAAATGATAATTGCATGATAGTTAGAAGCTATGTGATTATTCTTACATTGCACATACAGTTGTTACGTAAAAGAATGGTTTATCAATATAATAAAAATGAAATGTGTTATATATACATCAATTAGTACAGTAACTAATGTATACAATAGTAGACGGCTCTATTACAGCTCATCTACCATATTATGCGTGATTATTCATCAATTTTTTAAATTAATATCTCGAGATTTATTACGAATATCATAAAACGATATAGGACTTTCATGTTCACTTTAATCCTCTCGCGAAGTTTGAATGATCTAGGACATCCTGTACATATATACTGAATAAAAATGTCCATTTTGGACATGACTACATAGATTTTTAAATATTAATTAAAGAAGATTTGTGCATTATCACGCACAATCATGTAATAATTTTCTTTTATTAATAATTAAAAATCTACGTAATTATTTACAAAATAATGAAGGGCTTTTTTGTTCAATTTGACTTAATGTACAGGTACATAACAGCATATATCGCTACTACAGTTTATCTACCATATCGCGTGTTCATCAATCTTTTTTAATTAATATTCCGAAATTTATTGTGAATATCGTAAAATGGTATAGGACTTTTATGTTTATCTCAAATCGTTCTACGTTTCGATAAAAATTGATTCATGGAAACGTAATATTATTGTCCGCTTTTGCGCCAGATAGATGAATTGAACAGGGATTCACACAAAGAAAAAGTAAAAGATATAACGGAATACATGTTTTAAAAATTTATACAAGCAAGAGAATTTAAAATTACTATACATGACATTATAAATTTTCAACGATGGGCTTAGTGAGCGAAAATAACAGAGGATTTACAATCATTTAAAACTGATCATAAGACATTTTGGAATTTTAAAAAACATTTTGGAATTGTGTCAAGGAAAGTTATAAGATTTATCATGAAAACAATAGTACACAATGAAAAAGATATCGATTTTCAAAACAAATTTTTGCTTGCTGTCAAACCATACATTGCAAGAAATGGATCTGTTAGAGTGTTTAGTTCAGATTAGAGCAGTGTTAATTCTGAAATATGCTCTGGAAGAACTTTAGAAAAAGATGGAACAAAGATAGTAGAAAAAAATATTCAATCTATCTTATCTACATAGTTCTCTTATTTAACCCAGAATTTCTGTTAATGGACAATTGCTGTCACCTTTATTCATTGTTTTAAAGGAAAGATCTGAACCAATCATGTTAAGAAAAATATATTTAAAGTAAAAAGCTTATTTTTCATGGCTTCAAAATCTGGAAATCTGCGAAAACAGATTTTAAGCAAAATCTGTTAGCAATGTCTGTTGTTAGAAAGGTCACAGATTGCATACAAAATTTGTTTATCAGATGATGTTGATAAACTGATGTCAGTAATATTACAGAGTCTGCTGATAGAATCTAATGGCAGAAAGCGGCGCCTGTTGATAAAGAGCAGAAAGTGTATAGAATCCATTGATAGAATCTAATAACAGATTGGCGGTATAAACGCAGCAGATTCTGTAGTTTTGTAGGTTATTTAATTTAAATCAAATGGAATACGTATATTTTTAAATAGCCATTTAAACTGGTATGTGCAACTCTTGCATTTTTTATATTTGCATTTGTTTTTTCTATATTTCATTTTTGTCTTTTCTATTTTACAGAAAATGAATAATATGTGATGTAAAAACATAAAAAAGTATTCTTTATCGTTTACAACATGAAATTATATACTAAAGAATGAATACACTGAGTCCCAAAACGATAACAATATTTTTATGTATAATAATAACACGATAACAATAAGAGAAAAAGACCTATAAAGAGCCAACGTACAAATATAATAGTATGATCAAGATTAACTTAAACAAAAATAGTTAATACAATTCTCAAAGAGTGTGAGGAGATATTTATTTAAAGAACATTAATTTGAAAACCATACGCGGTTCGATTCTTCGTTAGATCCTGTTTAGTGATAATAAACAAAAGAAGAAAACTACTTAGAGAAATACATAAAAAGAATAAATAATCGTAAATAGTCGAATGCTAAAAAACGGTGGTGTAAGTCAACATCTAGTGAACGCGCGTCATTGGCGAGATAAAGAGACAAAAATTACAGGAAAAATACATAGTGTGTTTATAAAAACTCAACCGCTATAACAATGGTTTAGGCAAGAAATATGATTCAAACATTTGCAGACGCTAATCACCGACATGCTTAAATTGACGTAGCGAGTGAGGGTTAGTCTGAAGAGATGTCGAAAAAATAAAGCTAAAACTTGAAATATTGATATAAAACTAAAGGAGCAACGTCTAAGGATGTTAAATATTTTATAAAATGAAAATATGAATAAAATATATTACCTGAAACTAAGCAGCGGCTAAGTAGATGTCGCAGAAAATGATGTAATTAGGGTTTAAAAGATGTTAAATCAACCAATGCGACAATTAAATGCAAACTTGCTCAACGCGCACATCACATATGATGACAAGAGACGAAATAATGTTGTTGTATAAATCAAACATGTCGCACAGAATAAAAACATTATAAAGAGTTCAGAATCGCAAGATAATTATCCCCCAATATCGTTTTGGATATTTTAGCCATGTTTCTATTTTTTAATATAAATTATCTTAACAATTAATTTCTTAAAATAATTCGGTTTGTTACG